TTAATTTTCCAAGGCTCTAGAGTCATGTTTACTGACCCTGCAATCACCACATGACCTTTCCCCGTGCTTTGGCCTCACTTACACGGTATCGCAAATCACTTCCCGATAGGTCACCCATCCTTTGACTACTCCAGCTCAAGCACGCTTAACTCTGGAGTTCTTTCTGGATGTGCTCCCGAAAAGGTAAGTGCACTTTGGTAACATAGGTAGCGAAATCAATTCTCTTAAGCCTTTCCATATACCACAAACCGGGATGTTACAACATCTAATCAATATTTATATGTACTGTGAATGTGGACAACACTTCAGCTATCATCGTAACGAAAAAGTGATCTAGCAGTAACTTTTATAATATTTATGTTTTTTTTATTTGAAAGCAATCTTATATGTTTGTTTCGCTTACTCGATTTCCATAACTGTTGTTTATGTTCTAATACTACATTCCAAATCAAGGACGTCGCAAGAAAAAAAACAACGAAACAAAATAGTCACAATAATTCACACAATCGACATCACAAAGTATAGAAACAGTTAAATATCTAAAAAGACACATCCCAAATCATAATCTGAACGCTTCTCGTGTCGCTAGCGTTCCCATTAATATTACGTAACGCCTTGGGAGTCTGAACAAGATAATTCCTACATAAGGTCTCATGTGGTCCATCTCACCCCTTCCTCTCCTACACAGATGTTACCTGATCAGTGGTTTCACTAGACACGTGCCTTTTTCATAGTGATGTGGAAGCATGTGGATGATGTCCGACCTTCTAACAAATCGGAAGTACCACCACCGGCCGTTGCCTCAGCCGATGGGGGCAACAGAAATACTACGTGGCAATGCCACCATCTTTTGGCTGCACGCAATACTCTTGACCCTTGTGCGTATGTATCTTTTTGGGTAACGGTGGTGTTGGTATATCCAAAAAGAACTGAAATTTCTTAGAAATAATGAAATTTATGCTCATATATTTGGACGGTGGCAAAATAAATTTAAATTAACTTAACGAAACTTAAGTTGTAACTGGATAAAAGTTATGAAAATGTGTCGATTATTCGATTCCATGGATTATGAGCTGCTATATGAAGTTGAGTAAGATACGTAAAAAGTAATGAACACCCGTCTCTTGACGGTGGCAGAGAATCGCAACGCAGCCTTTCTGATTCCACACGGCTCTTTTTTCTCGGTATCCACTTGCTTACTTTTCTCATATAACTCGTATTCATCCTCTAAATAAATAACTTATAAAATTTCTTATCGTACTGTTATAATATTCCTTTAGGTCAAACATAGTCACAGACAACTCAATCAACATTATTGAATACTTAAACTTCAGTGACACTCTCGTTCGACATTAACACACACATACATAAATAACTACGACGTCACCACTTATATAAATTATCATAAGTTATTTCTAAATTCTAACTCATATTCTACAACTAGATTTTATACTCGCGCTACGCGCGAGTCTGTTTTAATAATTTAGTTTAATTAAAATAACTTAAAACTAAAATATTAATTGAGTAATATAATTTTCTTATTTAAAATATAATCTTTAATTTAGTATTTATGTTTTCTTATAATTATGTTATCTTATTAGCTATTTAGTTATTTGTATTTGTAAATATAATAA